CAACACCTTGCTCTTAGTGTCACGGATGCGACTTTACGAGTAAATTACGTATTAATGTATGTAAAACTCGAACATAAATGTCACAGATTTAGTTCAACAATAAACAATAAATATGTAGGCACAGTTTCTCCTAAACGAGTTTTGTTTTGTTGTTAATTACAAAGCTACACAATGGGCTATCTGTGTTGTGCCCACCAAGGGTATCGAAACCTAGTTTTTAGCGTTGTAAGCCTTGAAAATTACCGCTGAGTGTTATTCAAAGAGTTATGAACATTATTCTGTAGGAACACAGAAGATTAGGGATAACCAACTCTGTTTCTTCCATATGTTGTTTTTGTTACATTTCCTGAGTCTCGTACCGAATAACTAACAATGTAATATACAAGTTTTATTAATGGTTATTTGCAAACGTTTCTTGAATAATATTTACATATTTTGGCACCCTCTTTCACTGGCAGGTTCGGGATTTTCGGAAGGCGTAAGCTAATGTGATCGAGGTTCCGTTATGACAAGTGGTTACGGAAATCAGTCGTACGCTTCTCACTCCAAAAATAACCTTGTTATTTTCTGTGAGTGGGTGGGAGTGAAAAGCGTATGCCCTATGATAGACCCGCTAATTTTATTTAATGCCCCCTTTTGTATAACTCATTGATCCATTATTTTCGCGTGTTTTAAAAATCAACTCAAAGTTACAAATGGTTTCAGTTAAACTTTACTAACTATACACTGCCACCTAATGGATGTCATGTAAAAATCGTAATTTCTGTTTTATATATACCATTATTAATAGAATGCTGTTTGGAAAAAAAAAAACAATTACTACAATATACATGGCCTACCAATAAGTAAATAAACGAGAAAAGAAATCGACTATATCCATAAAGTCATATATAAATAACCTCGTAATACAAATATTGTTATACAGTGTAATTCGATTAAACCAACATGCCAGGAACGAAATAATCCCAGAATTTAATTTAATTGTTACGAGGTCACACAGTTGGATGGTGATCAAAGTCGACAGATCATTTGCAATATCCCTGTAGTGAATAGAGTGACTTAGCAGTTCCAATAACGTCTGAGAAAACCCGGGTACCCCAAAACAAAAGAACGGACTCTTCGTGCTGTGATGAGAATGCCTCACATCAAACGGTTGCTAATGTTGCAGGGCGGTTGCACGTGTACCCAGTACTATCACTAGTTATTTTCAAAGCTTGGGGTTTTATTGTGGACAATCACGCAAGGCTATACAAGGGCTATGTGTACTGCTATCTCTTATTTTGAAATAACAGACTAGAGGGAAGGCAGCCAGTTAACAGCATCACTGCCACTTCTTGTGCTACTCCAACTGAATAGTAAGACTTGACTATCACTCTTACGCCAATCCATGACCCCAAAAGTGTGGAGCACAATTTTGCAGAAATGGAATGCGAGCCATGGACGCTCAGGTTCTCAGTCTGGACTTGTGTTGGGAAAATTATTTTAAACTATACATGTACAATAATGAAATCCATCTCCAACTACAGAAAGTCTAAAACAGTAAGGAAGCTAAATTCTAGTTCACCTTTAACACTTGTACTAATGAGTTATAATTATCTGATCACTAGCTAATGACAACTTTAAAACGCAGCTGTCAAGTAGTTATATTAAAGTTATGGAGCCTCACCACAGTGTTAGAGCTCCTGTCGCCACGTCTGTTCATGCACTATCTGACGTCTGTGAACCTGAAATGGCCCTGCAGCGTAGTTTTTGTTGTAAAAGAATCTGCTTTAAGGATGGCATGTCCAAAGCAAACTGCTTCTCTTAAAGCTTTCCATAAACCATCTTGTACACAACGATGATTGTTTCCTACTTTTCACTTCAACAGTCTGATTACACAGAAATCCATATGCATTTAACCAATATGTCTTTGCACTTAATAGTGTAATAACCATTTTATTGTCTAGCTCTTTAAGGTTCTTCGTAAGTTGCCTGAGACACATGGAAGACTTTTGCCACCGACCTCACTGTTCATAGTTTGTCACAAGATGCCACATTATGCTTACCAGCTGCAGTATGACTTGTAGCCTCATGTTGAACTATATTCATTTGTTTCATAATGCCACTAAGTACATGGGGCATCCATATTTTAAATTCTAAATCCCTAATCTAAATGCATCTCTATGATCTATGTATATGAATATTTTAGGTTGGGAAGGTAGTAAATTTTCAGTGGCATCACACCATCTGCAAAATGTCAAATTGTAGTTCTGATATATTCCATACAACTTTGAGTATATGTAGACTGGTTGTCACATGACTTGCTGATATGTAATGTAATCAACCCTCTAGCTATGTTTTTGCAGTTCTGTGTTTAAGTTTATTTAAATTAAAAGCTATAAATGTTTTAATTCCAATAGGTTATAACCATGTTTATATAAAAATGAAATCCTGACAGATGATAATGAGCTGTGCCAGTCTTTCAGTAATACATAATAAAAAGAGCAAACGTACCTGAATTTTACCTACTGATAAGTAAAAAAAAAAATTTTTTTCAACAATTTTCAGTATGTGAAGAAGAAAGGAACTTGCTTTATTCTCCAGCAAGTTAAGGTGCTGCTAAAAATTTTCTTCACAATCATAGTGATAACTTAGATCATACCAGAAAACTGTAGTTCATTTAGGCCCCAAAATACATCAGTTACAGCAAGATTTTATAATTTTGATAAGTTGGTGTTTCAAATAAAACTTTCCTTTTCTTGCACCCAGAATTCTTAAAACAACAGAAACCAGTTTACCAATTCTCTATAATAATTAATATGTTAAATACAAATAATATTAAATTTCTTGAAATATATTAAAAACAATGTTTAGCATTTTTAGAACAGTTTATACTCTAAGCATAAGCCATTAGATTACTCTGGCCACTGTTATTTGTTTTCAATGTCCAAAAATTTTCCCCCAATTCACTGGTACAATTTAGATGCATTTCAAGAAGTAATATATTATGACTACAACTTAGGATTATTTTGAAGTTCTGAGCCAGATGAAATAATACTTATTACAAGAATTGTTTACTCATATAAAAAAAATTTTAAATGTTGAGCCTTTAAAGATAATGTAGCAATAATAACAAAACGAACCCATATTTTTTTCTGTTTATATCACAATCAACATTAAATTCTTCTTTACTAAATATTCACACACTCTAATTACCCGTAATGAATTTTCTAATAAAATACACATAAAACAATTACAATAACAAACAGTATTTTATTTATCCTTATATTTTACATTAATCATTATATTAAAGTACACAAACCTACTTATAATTACACTGAATTTTTTGTAACTAAAAAAAATTCTAAAAAAAGTCCTACCTACACCTATCATGAAACAAATTAATCATAGCAAGAACTTTTAAGGATAAGGCTTCCAGAAACATATAAAAATCACTTTTACCACTTAAAACCTAAACAAAACAAAAACCTAAAATTAAACAGTGTACAAATAAGCTTTTAGTGCACCGGGAATATAGAAATATTAATCTAAAATTTAAACAATAGTACTTTAAATATATTATACTAAAAATGCAGTAAGATGTCTTTCTAAAAAAGCAACTAAATAAAATGCTTGGATCTTTCCTGACAAAACACAAATGAATTTCAGAGTTATTTTGTGGCTGATCTTATACCCTATCAGAGTTTAGAGAAATGTGGTGGTTTTTCTGCTTTTGTGGCAACAGCTTCCGAGCCCTTGATGACATCCTCACTTTGAAGCATCGTCATATTCCAACATTGCTATGAGGAAACATTAAACAGCATTTAGTACCACAGTCGAGAAAACTACAAAAACATTAATCTAAGTAAAAGCTGAAGATGAAAAGAAATGAAAGAATTACTCATGAGTGGAAACAAAATACAAGAATTCAAACAGGACATGAGTATATCCATAATATGTGAACAAAATGAATAACACACAAACTGGAAAAAAAAAAGTTTACAGGTAACGTAACAAAATAATACAAGATTCGATAAAACTAAAAATGAGAAAATTTAAAAGCAAATAATAATAAAAACCTGTCCCAGCTACTTTTAAGTGAAGTATGAAATACTGAAATTAAAAAAAAACAGCATTGACACCTCTGTCAAGACTGGTCCAGAAAGGAACATTTTTCCTTTGTTGCCATGGAAACACTAGTTAAACAAGGTTAGAAAAAAAAGGAAGATAAAAGGCTTGTAGGAATTTTCTTAGCTTTGTTTCTCAGAAGTTGTCAAACCACAATATAAAGTAATGGTTTTTTTTCCTGAATGATTTGTGAGTACATTGCTTGTTTTGCAAAGAAGTAAATCAACAAATTTTAACATTTATGTATAAAATTGAATCTGCACAAATTCCTGACTAGACCTAATGCAATCATAAAAATACCAATAAGAAAAACATTGTAATGAATAATCATATGTATACAGGTACCCAAGTAACTACACAATGCCTTACAAACATATGGTTCTTGTCATCTTAATTTTGTGTCGCATTTATGAAGTGTAATGAAAAAACGTACTTTATAAAACATTCTTAGTGATACGTGTACTTTTATGTGTTATCTTCAGTGTTGTCAGAAAATTCTACTCAACACATTCATTTTGTATACACACACACACACACACACACACACACACACACACATATACTTAAAAAACTTTTCATATTATTTATATAGGAGCTTCTGAGTAAGGAGTGTCATTTCAGTAACTGAAGAAAGTTAGCTTTAAAATAATTTTGTTGTGCTATTCAATGGCTAGAGTAGAATCTTTTTTCTTTTTGTATGTGTGGATTCCACACACTTATTGTCACAAATGTTTGGAATTACTGTCATCATTCTTTATCTAATGTGATTTCTTTGCTATTTTTCTTGAAGACAGCTAATTAGCTTGTTAAAATATGACCTTAAAACTGTAAGAATGTGTTTTTTGAGTTCATACACCCCCACCTTAAGACACACCATCATGACTATAGTATTTGAACACCTATTCATCCTTAATTACAGATGTGGGATGGCAACAAAACTTTGAGTCATTTGTCAGCAGAAATTTATCGGAATGGGATTCCATTTTTTGTCTTCTGAGATACTCAAAACTCTTTATTCTCATATATTTCAGATAAAAAAAATTTGAATTTAATCTGTGAAAAAATATAGCACGTAATGCGCATTATAAGGAAAAGAAATTCCAGTCGGTGACTATCAGATTCCATATATCATGTGAACTTCTATTTCTACTGTGGATATCTGAACTAACACACAATGAAAGAGCTTTAGTAACTATTTGTGAAAAAAAAAAACTCACCATAAACTTCAATCCTTCACTGATGGTGTGGTCTCGTGAATAGTTGAGAGCCACCTTACAGCCCTGAACAGCCACTGGACTCTTAGAAGCAATAGACTCTGCCAACCTGTCAACCTCTGACATCATAGCTTCCTTGTTGGGAAAAACCCGGCTGATCAAACCCATCTGTAGAGAGGTTAATAAAAATGTGCTGAAACTTTGTAACACCATTATCAAAAGTTACGTTAGTTTTATATAGATGCACATTTCCAGGAACTGAAATCAGAGCATTATGAATAACTCTCAGTACTACAAGTTTGTTTGCAACCTATCTACTCTTACTAGCAAGAGGAAGGATAATCAAATGTGTGACTTTTATAGTAACTTACACGTAAAATGTGTATTGTTAATACTGATACAGTGCTGATAACAAAAATATATTCAGACTAATTCTATTACCATACCAATCATGAATCAAAATTAAAAGAAGTAAAAAAACACAAAGTGCTTAAAATGTCATAAAACCTATCATTAAGCACAAGACTTAATTGGTAAACACTAACATATCAACTAAAAACTATCAAAAACGTTAATTTCAAATACTTCTTGATAATAAAATTAAATGCTAATCAGGGCCACTCTTATGATAAGTGGTGCCTCTGATTATTAAAACCTCACTAGTGAAGTCAAATGACAAAAATGAATAAACCCTATAATTTTTTAGCAGTGTTTGCCAAATAATTTTTTCAATTTTGTACCCATATCATCATGCCTTAAGACTGACCATGATGGTCAAAATTTCCTACTAAAATTTGCATTTATCAATAAATAAGACAAAACACCTACTTCTTTAGCTTCAAAACCTTCCACCTTTCTTGCTGTATAAACCATTTCTCTCAACATACTGTTGTTTCCTATAGCTTTAGGAACTCTTTGGAGTGTTCCCAAGTCTGGAGCAAATCCCAAGTCAACTTCCTGGAGAGAAGAAAGAAAAAGTACAAGATTATAAAGATGCTATATACTTGGGGAAATATATGTGTGCACACAAACATGCATGATTCAACACACAAAGTTCAGACTAATGAAGTTACTAAAAAATTAAGCCCATAGGATCAAATAGAAACTAGGATCTAGAATCTCAATCTACTTTCAATCATTTGACAGTTCTCATCTAATTAATACATTTTATTGGACTAGAAGTAACTTACTTGCCAATCCTACAACATTAATCTCAGGTCTCAGCTTGTGAATGAGCACACTTTATTTTATTCCAAGAATCTGTTCATCAGTGACCCTTGCTAAGATCTTAAACTAATTACCGAGGATGACAATGTCAGTTTCTAATTGATTTAAGATCTTAGCCACGACCAATGATAAAAAGAGCCTCCAAATAAAAGAGAGCTTGCTTATTCACAAACTGAAGCCTGAGATTAATGTTGTAGGATTGGCAAGTAAGTTACTTCTTTTCAAACAAACTTTTTACACAGCCAGGAATTAATAAGTAAATGTGCTGCTAAGTGTTGTAATATTTCTCAGGTAGGATAAAGTGTGAGAAAACTATATATCACTTTCTGTCTAAACAAATAACATTTATATATCTAAAACTGTTTTAAAGTATTACACTATTAACATGATATAAAAGACTGTTTGGTTTAGATATT